GGTCTCGAAGTTGGGAATACGATGTCTTTCCGAGCTTCCACGGGCCAGATGTACGCAAACAGTTTCTCAGTCACGTTCTGAAGGCGTTCGAAAGTAAAGGAATCAGCTTTTTCAACGATAACAAGATCCAGAGAGGCGAATCCATCGCTCCTGAACTCAAAAGTGCGATCAAAGAATCTAAGATCGCCGTCGTCTTGCTCTCCAAGAACTACGCTTCTTCGTCGTGGTGTCTTGACGAATTGGTGGAGATCATGAACACAGTGTTTGGTCAAACTGTGTTGACCATTTTCTATGAAGTAGATCCAACTGATGTTAAGAAGCAGACCGGAGATTTTGGAAAAGTCTTTAGAAAGACTTGTCGAGGTAAAAACAAGGAGAAGATTGAGTCATGGAGAAAAGCTTTGGAGGGTGTGGCCACAATCGCCGGTTACCATTCAAGAAACTGGTTCGTCTTCTTGATTTCCCACTTGCTTTTATTATCTCTGAACATATTTAAACTTGTGTATATATCTTTGTAGCATTTGAACTATATGCAGCCAAGAGTAAGTCATAAAATTTGAATGTGTGTGAAAGTACTTAATAAATATTTATTGAAATGATGTCTAAGTTGGTCTCCCTCTTTGTTAGGGATGATGAAGCGGTCATGATCGAAAACATAGCCGCTGATATTTCAAAAATGTTGAATCATTTTGCACCATCACCTTGTTTAATTGGGATGAGAACTCATATGGAAAGGATGAAACCGTATATACGCCTCGATTTGGATGAAGTGAGGATGATTGGGATTTGGGGTCCTCCTGGGATTGGTAAGAGCACCATTGCCAGATATCTGTTTGACCAACTGTCCAACAGTTTCCGATTGAAGGCAATCATGGTGAATATCAAAGGAAATTATCCAAGACTTTGTCTCGATGAGGGCAACGAACAACTTCAACTACAAACCAAAATGTTGTCTCAGATGATCAATCAAAAAGATATCGTGATCACGCATTTAGGAGTCGCACAACAGAGGTTGAAAGACAAGAAAGTGCTTCTCGTTCTTGACGATGTCGATCGAGTAGCACAACTAGATGCCTTGGCCAAAAAAGTTCAGTGGTTCGGTCCTGGAAGTCGGATTATCATCACAACAGAAAATTTAAAACTTTTGAAGGCACATGGGATCAAAGATATTTACAAGGTGGATTTTCCTTCAGATGATGAGGCTCTTGAGATGTTCTGCATGTATGCTTTTGATCAAAAGTCCCCTAAAGATGGCTTCACAAAACTTTCTCATCAAATTACATACCTTGCCGGTAAACTTCCTCTAGGACTAAAGGTTATGGGTTCCTACCTCCGGGGAATGACCAAGCAGGAGTGGAAAAGGGTACTACCAACGTTATGGAGACACCTTGACGGAGAAATTGAGACCGTTTTAAAGTTCAGTTATGATGCTTTATGTGATGAGGATAAATATTTATTCCTTCATATAGCATGCTTTTTCGACTGTAGACATATTAAGACAGTGGAAGGACATCTTGCAAACAAAATCTCAGATGTGAGGCAACGACTTGACGTTCTAGCTGAGAAATCTCTCATATCTTTTGATCGGGATATAATAGAGATGCATAGTTTGCTAGTCGAACTAGGCAAAGATATTGTTCGTAAACAACATCCTGAGCCTGGACAACGACAATTTTTGGTTGATGATAAAGATATTTGTGAAGTCCTCACTGATCCTACAGCTGTAAGTTTTGTCATTATTCTTTTGTTTGCATTTCTTATTGTGACTGCTTAATTTATGGGGTTCTCTTTTTCAGATCACTAGAAGTGTTATAGGCATAGATTCCACAGACCCTCTAATTTGGCACAATTCGGAGGCAAATGAGAGAGTTTTTGAAGGAATGTCTAATCTCCAATTCTTAAGATTCGGAATTAATTTTAAGAATCCAAACTTGGCGTCTTTGTCGGGATGTATGAAGTATATATCTCCAAAACTTCAATTACTAAAGTGGGAGTGTTCGCCGTTGACATGTTTACCTTTTACTGGTAACCTCGAGTTCCTTGTCGAACTATACATGCCTGAGAGCAAGCTTGAGAAGTTGTGGGAAGGAATAAAAGTAAGTATTTTTAATTTCTTTCTCGTAAAACTTAAAATTTTACTTCAAATCTATAATACATTTTCTTGTACAGTACTTAGCTTGGAAATGTAAACCGAACCTTTTTATTTATATTTTTTGTCAATTGAACTTGCTACTTAGCTTAAAAAAGTTAATTAGCATGGAATTGTATTATTTTTCGTTTATGCGTTTTTGTGTGTGTGTGTGTTCAACTGCTAAGTGTATCAACGTGTTCATGAATTATGTCTTTATTTGTTTGTACAGGTGCTTCGAAATCTCCAGAGGATAGATTTGAGTTTTTCGGAAAATTTGAAGGAGCTTCCTGATTTCTCAACTGCCACTAATCTCCAATATTTGAATCTCGATGCATGCTCAAGTCTGGTGAAACTTCCTTCCTCGATTGGGAATGCAACTAATCTCCAGATATTAGAT